CCAGCCACAGCTGGATGTGGTGACTGATGCGTTCTGGGACTATGTTGCCAAGGCAACCAGACAGCTGATGACACCCTCCAGATGATCCGAAAGTCTCAGTTTGGACAGGATGTCAGGTATGTCGGACAACCCCACTGAGAGAGTTCATTGACGCGCTAAAACACCTGCATGTCCTCCCCACAATAAAAGTAAGTGAAGGTGGAACCTAATGCCGCTCTTCCCTTCCTCGTCTAGTGCTCGTCTGACGGAGAGCGCCGATGTGGCCAGCACCTATGCAATCACCCTGCAGGAGCAGCTTCCCCCTGCAGCGAGGACCTGATCACCAAAGTCACCACAGAGGCCGATGTGCTGAGAGAGCGTCTGAACCAGGAGCTGAGCACCGTCAGGGAAAAGCTGGAGCCCTACACCGAGGACATGAAAGCCAAGGTCCAGCAGAGAGTGGAGCAGCTCAAACAGGAGCTGGCCCCCTACGCAGAGTCCGTGGACACTGAGGCTCTGAGGGCCACCCTGATGCAAAAGAGTGAGGAGCTCAAGACCAACCTGGAGCAGAGTGTGAAGGATCTGCAGGCTCAGCTGGGGCCTTACACCGATGACCTGAAGCTGAAGGTGGACCAGCACCTGCAGGACTTCAAGGAGAAAGTGGCGCCCGCGACGCAGAAGGTCCAAAGCGAGCTGACACAGAGAGCCCAACAAGTCAAAGAGATCGCTGCCCCCTACGTTGATGACCTGAGGGTGAGGCTGGACCCCTACGCCCAGGACCTCCAGGCCCAGCTCACCTCCCTCTACGAGTCCTTTGCCAAAGCCCAGTGAAGCCACCTCCATCTCGTGCCGAACAGAAAGGAGCCACCAGAACAAGATCAGATCATTAATGGGATTGTGTTTTTGAGAGATAAAATGACTGGTATTGGACGTTGAACTGTTTAAAGTATAAAAGGAAAAGATAAATACAACAAAACACTTTGTTCTCTTTCTATATTGTGAAAAAATAAAGGCTAAACATCAACTTGTGAGTCTGTTGGGTTATTTACAAAGTCCTGGTGAAATTGACAGTTGGTAAGATCTGAGATCTTTTGGACTTGACTGGATGCAACAAGGATCTTTGATGATAATTAGTGCCACCTGGTGAACATATAGAGTCCCTACATTGTAGATATGTACATGTGTATATATATATACAAGAGATATATATATATATATATATGTGAGAGCCATTTTTAATGCTGATACTTCAGTCTTATAACAAAGAAATAAACTTTAACACTACATAAAATAAGTAGGGAATAAATCCCTTTTTTTCCTTGAGTTCATGTTGCAGAATCTCGCCCCCCGCTTTGGGCCCGCCCCTCTGCGTTGGAGCTGTGGGCATGTTCAGGTTTGCCTTTGCAGGCCTGGAAGTTCACGTAAACACGTTCTGCTTCTACCTTGTTTTTTTTGTTTCTGTGCCTCCTTCACTGCTGCCAGAGAGCTCCCACGCTGCGTTCCCCCGCTGCCAATAACATTCCTCAGTCCTGCCCCCATTTCTCACTGACTATGTTCACAAGTACCCTCCAAACGCACACAGACACACACCGACTCTGATTTCATATTACGTCTGCTTTCGCCAAGCTTTCCAGTTAAACTTTGGCTTTTTGGATTCTGTTAACAGTACTTATTGTTACAAATACGTAATGGGTTTTAGTGGTAACTAGGGCTCATAAAATGTTAATTTGGGCTTTTACGAACCAAATTATTACATAATTATTTAAGTATATTACTGACAAGGGGGGGAAAAAGCAACAACAGTATGTTATTTTTCAGTATTGTGCATCAGACAGCAGAAAAGAAAAGCAAATCCATGTAGACTGCAGATTTCTTCCAATTACCGGCAATGTGAGTCAGGGATACTTTTGTTGATGGAAGCACATGAGCGGCTTCGCATCAAACCAGTGACCCCTTTGCCCCAGTGAGACCACATCAGCTGACTGTGAGACGGAAAAAACACTCCATTCTGACCTTAAACCACAGACTCAGCTGCAGTAACTTCACTTATTCTGCTTGTTGACGACATCATCCAGACTCAACAGCTTAATTCCTCAAACCATTTTACAGAAACCGTCGTCAGGCCGGCGTTACGCAAGTGGCCCTCACACACACATCTGCTCCTGATAGACCCTCAATCGGGCATCCGTCATTGTGGAGCAGAAGGAAACACAAACATACAGAGATATGTATTTTGTGGACATCTTATTAGTGTGGGGGAATGACCCTGAACATTTCATCATGTTCTAGAGACGGGACAGAAACAGCAATTTGCGTGACAATGTTTTTGTTTTAGATCTGGATTTGTTTGTGTGTTTGAACTGGATTGGACTCCTTATCTAGCTGAACATACAGTATCTTTCTTTGTGCGACACACCTCCTGCGGGGACACACACTACACACTATTGTTGGGCACTAACAAGGTCAAAGGTTTTTAACGCTGGAGTCACACCTAAAAACACTGAATTCAGTCTTACTTAAACGTCATCAAAGAATTTTAATTTCCTTGTTGATTGACTAGCGTTCAAACAGAGAAAATGTTCATCCATCACACAACACCTGAACTTTACATTTAGGTACAGTCTTCTCACACGCCAGTGGTATAAAGTTCTCGCACTAATTACCTGGCCGAGCCAACATATTTAAACTTTGTTCCAGAGTAACGCTCGGCCTCTGTGAAAGAAAAAGACATTGGTTGACAACACCGACGTCCTAAAGAGCAAAGGTCGTTACACACAGGCAGTGAATCAGAGCAAAGGGTTTTACATCATAACTAATGGCAGCAAAACAAACTGATGACTCTGCCACGGAAACAATATGTGTTGCTCAATAAGCTGCTGTTTCAAACACGAGGAACACGCAGGCGGACCATTCGCCTGTATCAGTATGTAATAAAAAATAAAACCAGTTCACGTTCTCTGTACTCTACTACATGTAATGCTTATCTTGTAGGGATTGACTTGGGGTTTGTGTGTCTGCAGGGGGGAGACAGGCGTGGTGTCAAGGGTCAGCAGCCACAGGCACTTTAGATTGAATTGCATCACGTAAGTGAAAAAGGCTTATTTGCATCTTGCCCCCCCCGGGGGATTTATAGCCTCACGAGAACACTGATGAAGATCAAAGAAATGCTGTGGTCACTAAACACGAGGCCGGCTACGGGATAACACACATATATTATTATTATATATATATATAATATAATATATATATATAATAGTATATATATATATAATAGTATATATAATAATAATAATAATAATAATATATATAATAATATAATCAATAATAATAATATCATATATATATATATATATATATATATATAATAAATAAGTACTTGAGCAAAAGTAGTAATAAGAGTAAAAGTGATTGTGCATTAAAATAATGGAGCAAATTATACTGAAAGTAAAAAAATCATTTACATTTTTTGGGACCATATGTTGTTATGTTGTTGTATGCTGTTATGTAATCTATATATATATATAGAGAGAGATTAAATGTATATTGTCATCTCAGGTAGATTACATAGCAGTATGTGCAGGTGATTAACAGCTTCATCTCACCGGCTGATACCACAGAACATATTTCAGACCTTGTTCGGCTCCATCAGCCCGACGCGGACCTCCCGAGGACTTCGGACGCGGTGTTGGTGAAAAGCACCGTGGAGGGAAACAGGAATCTGTGCAGACGAATCATCGTTACCACGTGAATGCTCGCGGGCATCGCCCCCCCCGCCCCCCCCCCCCGGGGGGCCGGCCCCTTCATTGGGCCGGACGCTTGCGCCGGTGTATAAAAGAGCGGCAGGTTCTGCTGCACGGAGAAAGCCCCAGCTCTCAGGTGAGGGTGAGGAGACGTTTCTCCTCTTATGGAGAGAAAGTATCCCGAAACTCGTTGTGCTGCTCAGTCGAAACACACGGAGCGATATTTTCTTTTGAGAAAACAAAAGAGGCCATTGAAGAATTCTTGCGTAAATTGTAGTTTCGCTATTGGAAGAAGTAATGTCTGCCTCGCCGTGTTTCTTTCCTTTGTTTGGGTGCTTACCTCTGCACTCTTTAATTCGCAGGAGTATCTGTAAACCCAACCATGAAGGCTGTAGCTCTGATCCTCGCTCTCGCAGTCATCACTGGTAAGTTGGTCTACCACTGACCACACTTATTCTTTTATGGCTTTCTGTATATTCATGCTTCCGCGGTTCCCACGATAGGCTGCAGCGCTCGCGTTGTGCGCCAGGCTGATGCCACCGTGAGATGGGAGGACACTGTGGATCGCTTCTGGCAGTATGTCTCTGACCTGAACCAGAAGGCTGATGTGGTCGTGCGGGACCTGAAGACCTCTCAGATCACCAGGGAGCTCGAGTACGTACACTTTATCATTCTCTTACCATGTTGTGTTCAATAGGTAGGGATTTGTTGTTTCAGTATCTCCACATGCTCCAATGTTTTCCCTTTCCTACTTCTCCCATTTACAAAACTTGAATTGCAACCTTGAACTATGGTTAAAGCCCAAATTTGACGTCTGACCATCTTGTCCATCTGCTTCCAGCACTCTGATCACCGATACCATGGCCGAGCTGGCAGCGTACAGAGATGACATCAATACCAAGCTGACCCCGTACGCCGATGGCTCCACCGGACAGCTGTCTCAGGACCTGCAGCTTCTGGCCAACAAACTCCAGAAGGACATGGTGGATGCCAAGGAGCGCAGCGCCGTGTATCTGGGCGAGCTCAAGACCATGATCGAGCAGAACTCCGATGATGTCCGCGGCCGCATCGGCACTTATAGCCACAAGCTGAAGAAGCGCCTGAACAAGGACACTGAGGAAATCCGCAGGTAAGCAAAGTGAAGTTTGAGACTTTATCAAACTTTTTTTTCTTCACACAAAATCTAAATGTCCGCTTCCTTTCCTCCCGTCAGCGCCGTGGCCAACTACCTGGGTGAGATCCAGTCCCGCACCGTCCAGAACCTCGACACCGTGAAGGAGAACGTTGAGCCCTACGTCCAGCAGGCCGGTGACACCGCCAGCAAGAAGCTGGCCGACATCTCCACCATCCTGGAGTCTCAGGCTGAGGGCATCAAGACCCAGCTGGAGTCCACCGCCCAGGAGCTGCGCACCTCCCTGGAAGGCAAGATCGACGAACTGACCGAGATGATCTCCCCCTACGCCGTCCAGATCCGCGAGCAGATCGAGAACATCATGGACAAGGTCAAGGAGACCTCCAGCTCTTAAAGAAAGACTCTCTTAATGTCATGCTACCGATGGGGGAAGAGAGTGACTTCTGACATTTCCATTTGGGTGCTCTTTTGTTCCGGATAAGGGGGGTGATGAGATGAAGCGTGAGTTGCGTCTTTGAAGGCCATCAGATAAACGTCTCTTCTCTTATTACCTCCCTTGATCACTGAACACAAGCACCCCGTCAGTAAGGGCCTTTAAACAGGAAACATTTCTGGCAATATGCTTTGCTTTTCTACTTTTAATCAACAGTTATAGCTAGCAACCCACCCGCCAACGTTTTGTATTGAGCTTCCTACATTTTGTTTGGTTGTCTACAAGCTGTCCTCATTGGGGTGATCCCATCCCTAAATGCACCAAACGCAAGTGTCTTTCTTTTCAATAGATGCACTGAATAATGATTGTGATGGAAAGAGGAGGAGGAGGGGGGGGGGGTTTTGAGAGGTGAACCACTAAAGTACCGTTCTGTATTCTCTGCGTTTTTTGTTTGTTGTGCTTCACACAGAAGAAGATAAACTCGATGCATCAGTGAGTGTAATGCTGCCTGTCCGTTCTTTAGTCTGAATGTTGTGTCCCTTGTGTGTCACGTACCCACCATGCTGCTCACTGCTCTGCACACAGTGCGAGTGAATAAAAAGTTAGAAAAGAAGCTCTGGTTCCACCGTTTGTTGGTCTGATCAAGCACAAATGTGATATTTTATCTGAGAACGCGTTCCGTTACACCAACAACTAGACTTCATGAAGCTATTGTTGTTCCATTGTACATTTGGTCCCTAAAGCTGCTGAAAATATCTCTAATGACTAGTGAGTGTGCTTACATTACAAACCTTTTCATCACCACCCATCACAGTAACAATGGCTGCAGGACTAATCATGCAACAGCACTTATAGGAAGTTAACGGCCTAATTGTACCACGGCCCTTTCTAAATCCTGCCTTTCTACAGTTTCTACAGAAGGAATGGCTCATGAACCCAATCCTCTTACCTTCTCCCTTTGCCCAAACCCCACCACCCACTGCCTGCAGTTGTGCCAGTCCCGACTCGTAGAGATCGGTTCCCCAGATTCCCTTCATCTAATCAGGAACACTCTGTGTCCTAGATTACATTAATGTTGACTCTGTCGTCTCTGCCTTTATCTCGGCTTTTAACCCACGCATCAGTGCGTGTATACACAGCTTTGCTCAGACATGCCGATAAGAGATATTCATATTTGTCAAAGTGCCCACATGCAAGCACAAGTTTGGAAGCATGAGTCTCCTCCCATGGTTAAGATGCATAGCATTGAACTGCTTTGTAGGTTCATTTGTAGTCATTTCTTGCATGTCGTGTCTCTCACCGACATAGAAACTTAACTTTACGTCCCTGTAGAAGTTGCAACGGACCCAAATGATGACATTTACAGATCGCTACACATCTGGATCCCCCAAGGGCGAAAGATGCTGCAGGTCCTGAACTCGGACCCGATCGGTCTAAATGAAAAAATGAACATGCTTATCAAACTCAGCAGGAATGTTCCTTTGAAGTGAAGGGCAGAGGCCAGTAGAGGACACCATTTGTCCCTCCATCGTCTCCCTCCATTCCTCTGAGCCCTCCGCTGGGATCCATGCTACACAACGTTGCAGCTGTGTTTTCTTTTTTTGGAAGATTTAAGCAAACCGTGTTTGCTTCATGACAAAACACACACGCAGTGAGTTTCCAGAGCAGAACACAGATGTTTTAATCAACTTGAGTCAAGGAGATGCTTCAGAACGACTTTGGGGCAGCCGTCCCAGGATGGAGGTTTGGAGTTGGCAGCGGACTGCAACATCACCATCTAGGCCGAAAATGGACTCGACACTTGGATGCCCCCTCACCCTCCCTCACCCCTTCTATATCTTCACATTTTTTAACTTTTTCTGCGCTTACAAATAAAGGCAATAATCTTAAAGTTGTGCCTTGAAAATGAAGGTAAATATAGATATAGATACTTAAATAGTATTGGTATGTCTCTCAAAGTATTTGCTCATTTAGGCTTCTTTCGTCAACAACGGCCTCTTTCCTCTGACAAGAAAACATGTTGACCCTTTTATCTGGGCTAAAGGGCACTGCATGTCAAATGAAACCGCGGTGTTTGTCATCACTTCTTTTCAGGAACCAGTGTTCATTTGGAAAATAACAGACAAGTGAAACACCGTCTTTAAACTGTGTATTGTTGCCGGGATCAGTCATGGATGAAAAACAGGAAAAACACAATCATCTTGCCGGGTCAGCACTTCTGCTCCGTCTGTTCCTATAGGGTGTCTGCGCTGTGAGCGCTGCCCAGCAGCTTTTAAAAAGTCCAACAATCTAGCAGCTGCTAGCGCGCCCATGACTGCAAGTAACCTTTCCAAAACAACCCATGCAGAGATTTTCCCTCTTATCGCAACTCTTTTATTCTTTCCGTCCTTTCCCGCCCCGTCAGAGCTGGCACACAACACAAGTCACCACAGGAGCCCTCGGGCCAAACACAAAAACAGCCTTTTTGTAAGCTTGTTATTGCCAATTGGGAGCACGCGAGACGTGCACTTTCACGCCCGATGCCTCCTGCAATTATTCGAGAGGAACTTAAATGCACGCAAGCACAAGCTCATACATAAAACCCGCCGGCCACTTCATGACAAAAGAGATTTCATCTTTCAGCCATACGTGGGTGTCGAGGCCTGTTAGGGCTCATTCAACTCCACTGTAGGCTGCTATTCATCACAGCGATAGGACATTTGCAACCAATAGGCCAGCGGCCCGTTACAGCAGACCCCTCGGTGTGAGAGGAGATATGAGGGGTTACTGCAGTTCAACCAACTGTATTGTTGTTCTTGTCGCGTGTTAACTTACGAGGCGGACCACATGTGGTTTGGTCTGACTCACTTCCCTTTTGAGAAAGGGAAGGTCTGCAGACATCAAATGAGGTGACAGGGTGCTCAGTAGGGAAGTACATGGAAAATTACACCAAAAGGGAACCGGAGATTCCATTCAAACAGTCTGCTTAAGAGTGAAAGATAGTGACTTTGTCCCATAAGCAAACGTATAAGTTTAAGTCTTCACAATCAGCAGGGTTGGCCAAAAGAACAAGGAATCAACTATATTAGAAAATGTAACTTGTAATGTAAGTTAAATGTTGAATGTTTACCTAAACTACATTTATTTGAGAGGCATATTTACGACGAGATGTTTTAGATGCAAGTCATTTAGCTGACGCTTCATGCATTCATATCCTTAAAGGGAAACACCACCCCAGGCACAAAGGTCAAAATATGTGACGTTCAGATATTATCACGAAACCGATTATTTACATTAAGACGAGTTTTGTATTGCAATTGTTCTGAAAATGTAGAATAAACCAATAGGACGTGCTCTTATTGAATATTTGCTAATTACATTTGTTTCCACATAATCTGCATTGGATAACATTGTTTTAGGAGAAATCTACAGAGGCAAATAGATAAAGTGTGGATAAAGTGTGGAAGAGATTTTTTTGTTATTCTCGGCTTAATGTGAGATTTTACTTTCCAGTTTTTTAACTCAGCAAAAATAAGCTTCACATTAGGAGTACAATTAAAAAAGTACAATATAACGTCACATATATTCAATCATTATTAATTATGATTGCATATTACAATAATATAACACAAACATCTGTGTGGTAATTATTAGCCTTTCATTTGTATTGTTTTGTATCTATTATTTCTCACACCATCGCAAAGGTACAAAGCATATCTCACTATCAACGGAATCATTTTATCCTGAAGCAGTGAAGTCACCTGATCTGGTTTAACCTGACCAGGGACTGAAGCCTGTGAGAAGCACTTTAAGTCCAAAGGAGCTTCCAAATAGCTCAGGTCTGCTGGTTTTAATCAGCGCTGAACTATGCTCCTCCTGCATGACATCGCACATTATCTATTGTTGCTGAGGGATTCACTCTGATTATGATTCAATTCATTTAAATGTGCAACAGAGACACAGTGGTGATGATAAATGGATAAATAGTCTCGCCCTCTTCTCTGTGATTAGATCCTGCACAGCTCGCTGTGACCTTTCACCCCACCAGCGCGCTTCCTATAACCGCATTTACAAAACGATGCAAATATATGCTTGTAACTCATTGGCCAACAGCCTGTGTATCTTTTAATGCAATGGCCAAATCAAGAGGGCAGCGATGCCTCAAGGTCTCCACGTGGACATGTTGACTGAAGTCTGGCGCTACGCGTCAGCGAGCGGGTTTATAAAGAGGGACTCACTTCTCCGCTCAAACAAACTCCTGCCGTGTCGTCCTCTGAGTAGATCAACAGGTACGTTCACTGGCACCACTGTCTGGACGGAGAACGCGTCTCTGTCCTCTTCCCGCCGCGGGACGCACACGTAGTGAGATAGCGGGATTTTACACTTTGAGTTTGAGTTGGTAAACAAGGGAACTGTCCGCTCGGAGTGGTGCTGACGCGGCGCCGCTTCTCTCTCCGGGTGCGCGCGCGCGCGCGTAAAGGTGTTTAACCTGTCCTCTTCCTTCCCCTCCAAAGATCCAAAGCCAAGATGAAGCTGTACCTCGCCGTGGCCGTGCTGATGCTGGCTTTTGTCGCGTACACAGGTAGGTGTCTCTAGAATTACTGCGAAGTTTGCGCGTTCGTTGTCTCCCATGGTGGGTAACGTGACCCCCCCCCCCCCCCCCCCCCACCCCCCACACACAGAGGCGCAGGACGCGGAGCAGACCGTCGAGCAGAGGTTCAATAGGTTCGGAGAGCAGGTGGCGGAGGTGAGCAAGGGCCTGGCCGAGAAGGCCAAGACCACCTTCGAGGAGATATCCACCAGCCAGTTCGCAGAGGACACCCGGTAAGCGCGCACGCGCACACGGGGGATAATTAGGCAACACGTGTACGTCCACACGCACGTCTGTGTAACACGTTGTTTGGCTTCTCCTCCCCAGGAACTGGTTCCAGACGCAGTTTGAGAGTTTGAAGGCTAAGTTGTCGTAAGCAAACCAGTAGACCCGTCCCCATCTCCAGCCCCATCTCCAGCCCCCCCCCCCACCGACCCCCCCCTGGACCGCTGACCTCTTCCAACAACAACAACAGCAGCCCATCGCTATGCTTCTATGTGCATCCTGTGTTTGCATCAGTATTTCTCATTAAGAACTTCTGAATGTACTGAATCAAATAAAGGACACACGTTCGACTCACATGTTCCATGACTGCAATTCATTTCCTTCCAGTTTTTAAATTCCTTAGTCCTTCAGAGCTCTAAGATAAAACTAGATTTCACAATATATGATAAATTGATAAGTTAAAAATATTTTCAAATGATTTACTTTTTAGATAAGAAGTGTTCTTACTGTGGTTTTCCTTATAAGTTTTCTTTAAACAAGATTTAAACATTTAGTTCTTCCTTAGAAAAGTTAAACTTGTAAAGGAACAAACATTGAAGCCAATTAATTGGTTCATTTATTATTCTAAAATATTGGAGGCAGACAAGTAGATTTGAATGAAAGCTGTACTTCCATTCTTTGTATTATTGAAGAGACACAACTCTTCAGACTCTACCTCAACGTCACTACCTAAATGATTAAATCCCTCGATAACACATTTACATAACTAAACTGGGTAAAGTAAGTAAAACTTAAAGCTACTTGGTTATTGAGGAACACAATCTAAGACCAACATGGAACGACGTTCTTTACTACTTACTGAGTGCACGACTCAGACACAGTTTCCAGGCCTGTATTTCAATAAGTCAGCTCCCTCAATCACAGTGTCCTTGTTTAATAAATCAAGGTGCATCATGATCAAAACCACTTTTCTTTCTTGTGAAAACAACTTAAAAGCAGACCGGAAGTTTTTTTTGTTGTATTTTACTGAAACATTTTGTAAAGGAGCTTCCTGGACTCGGCTGGACAGGGGTCTGTGATAAAAAGCACAAAGCATTATTCACACGATAGACATCGTGGAGGAAGGTAAAGAGAGCTCCGAGGAGCTCTGAGAGTCAGTGCTTCCAGGTCCACGGTCATGTTCCCTGGTTGAATCCTCCAGGTTGGGAGTGAGTCACTGGGATCAAGAACCTTGTTCATGAGCGAAGGTAAAATGGAGATTGATTGGTTTCATTTCATTTCGGAACAAAACTCCGCCGTAATGAGCTTCTCACGTGGGAATGCTCAACCTGAGAGATGCTGCTCTTTCAGTTCGAAAGGTCCCAGGTGAGGGGGCACCTTTATCTGATGTGGAAGCCTGCGGGACGTCTCCCTGTAGAGAATGTTGGGTATGCCCAAATGATAACAGGCCCGGGGGAAGATCTAGAACCATCTGGGAAGATGGAACATCTCCTCTGGCCTGGGAACACCTCGGGGTCCCATGAAAGAGGAACATAAGCAAGATCACCTCGATGAGTTGACGGACAACCGTTTGATGGGTTTAAAGTACTTTGACCATATTTATACTAGGGTTGATACCGTATTAATGGGCTCTGAGAGATCGTTAAATCAAAGAACAGCTCGCAGCTTCTGCGTCAACAGCTGATACCAAAGGGCCAGTGCCAACAGAGCTGCTTTTGTGCCATTTCACAACTCCTGGGCTAAAGTCACTGTTTATGCTGAGTTAATGATCCACCAGTTGTCCCAGAATGCGTTCCTGTTAAGAGAACAGAGTGACAGAGGTAAGCAGCCGGGGTTCAGAGGTCACAGATTAGGACGCCGTTGCCTCAGTTGTGTGGGCTGAAATTGCATTTAAATCACTTTCACTTGACTTTGGTTCACATTTTTATACTTTCTATGCAGTCGTATACTACGTAAAGTGTGACCCTTAACATAATTCTATTCTCATTATTCTATTTTGGATTGATTCAATTTACACAGTTTATAATACGACTTTTCTGATGTATACTGGCAGGGACACACACGTCTTTAACACACTGAGGGACAGTACAGGTGTGTAAAACCAAACACACTGTGTAAAAACAAGAAGATGTCTGTTAAGACAGCTGCGATCCGGTCTGTGCGTCGCTGTTATGAACTCTAACATCAACACAAGTGTTGCATTATTCCCGTTGAGAATGTTCTGCAAGGCTGGAACATAAGAACATTTATTCGATTTTGTGGTGGACTCTGCCCACAGAAATGTTTGATCCCCCCACCGGCCCCCCCGGCCTCTCCGTCGCCCACTCTTCTAAAAATCATGGCGCTATTGCAAGAAGAGAGACTTTGACTGGCCTGTGCACATATCAGCCCCCGCCAAAGGGTTTGAGGTATCTGATCCAAAGGGCACTCGGACAGTTAGTGAACTCAGCTAATGTTGATCTTGAGAAGATATCGAGGGTTCAAGATCGGCAGATCGACCTGCTAACATCGTGATACGGACGACATTTAACGAGGAGAATAAAAGCTGATCCGATGCTTTCATGTGACTCATTTCATTAAAAACTCAATTTAAAATGTCCAAATGCGTCCACGTGTGTCTCTGCATTTCTAGGCTATGTTTGGTCTAAGGTCTGACCCAACTTAGTCAAAGACCCGTTGCTTTGCTGTCTCTCGGACCTTTGTCAATAAAATGATTTTTAAAAAAACACACAGAGTGAAGAGTCACCCGATCCGGACCAATGTTCAGGCTGTTGTGTTCTCTTAATACAAATAGAAAGGCTGGATAACATCTCATTGATTCAGCTTCTGTTGACCAGAGCCGGAGGAAAGGTAAAAATATCACTCATCCCGTTGCACTTCTTTCTGCTGGATGTTAATGAACAAATTGTACCGTTAAATTAACTTGACATTGTGATATTTGTACACATAATGTACATAATAAATGTAAAACACATGTATAAACTGGTAATAGTTGTGTTTCTCACGGCAGATGCATCTGAAAGAAGTTGTTCTCGGTGTCGTCTTGCTGATGCAAGGTGTTTTATTCTACGAGCCTCACTCTCAGCTCCCTCATTTTCTCAGCCCGTCGTTTCTTTTGCTATTTCCTGACTGACAAACGTCCCCCTCTGCAGCGTGCGGCCCGCTTTCGGCCCAGACCCCGATGTCCGGCGTGCCTGAGGCTGAACCGCCGACGGACCCCCCGGGGTTACTGCGGAGGCTGGCGCAGAAAACCAGGTACCGTTACGAGCACGATCAACGCCGCCACTTCTGAGCCACGTTTTACATCCCTCGGTGAACTCGTGCATCTCACAGGGAAGTCAACGCTAAAGTCCAGGACTTGGGGGCACCAGTGATGGGCTTTATCGGTGCTTACTACGAAGACCACATCCAACCGGTGGCTGAGAGCTACGTCGAATGGGCCTCTAACCTCAGGAGCTCCATGCTGGATAAGATCCAGATAACCATTGGCAACTACTTGCCACTGTAGGCAATAATAAAACTGTTGTACCTCACAGATGTATGCATGTTCTGACCAGATGGCATATCTGCCGATGCTGCAAATAAAGTTTGAACCAATCATTGAGCTCTGCAGGTTATTTTAAATACAGAAGGAATAGAGAAGGAAAGAAGGAATACAGAAGTATAGTTACTTGGTGTCAACGGGCACTTTACTGAATGAAATACTGAATTATTCAGTTTAGCCGTTCAATTAATTGTTGCGCTTTTTTGAGGCTGCAGGATTCTCCCAAAATCAAGAAGTTTATGACAAATGAAAGAAGTAATAATAAGAGAGAAAATAGAACAAATAAAACCCTGTGAGGTTACTGTCCCAGGTTATGCAGGTGAGAGGTGAAAGCAGGAATCCCAGCATGCATTGCTCTGGGCGCCGTAGACCCTTTCCAGACGCGTGCTGGCGACTCCATCTGCAACAGACATTACATCACACGTCATTTAGCTGACGGCTTTGATTCTTTATCCGACTTACAATAAGTGCATTCAACCACAGGGACACCGGCATCGTCAAACGATTCTGATGAGCTGTTACAGTTTGATCGGCACGAGTCAATCAACTCAAAATCCTTTTGACACGTGTGGCGTAACGACTTGGGACACGCATGCAGCAGGACTTTATTCCAACTCACAGCTACACGCGGTGCTATCAGCAGGGCTCCAAGTGCCATATGAATACAGATAAACCGTCTTTTGAGGAACATTGCATAAGTCATTTCAACATATTTAAAGTGAATATGATGTTCACTGGACTTTGTTTAGGCGAACAGCATGCATGTCAGTGTGCATGTGCACACACATGTGTGTGTGTGTGTGTGTGTGTGTGTGTGTGTGCTCATCAGATGACGTTTGTTTGCAGTCGCCCCCTATATCATCCTGTCCAGATGTGAGCTCCCAGTTACAGACAACTCACTTTCAGAGACGACTGTCACTTCTTGGATCCGTCCAACACAACCGCAGGTAATCCTTATTTCCACTGCTGCAGAGCTCATAGCTTCTCTTCTACAGAGACTTTTCAATAGATTTCACCAGAATTAAATACATCTTTGTAAAGCATTATTTGATTTTTTTGCATTAAGAATGCAGTTTCACCGCCGTGACTGTGTGAGGTTAAAGTGACAAACGTGGAAAAGAATATTGAATATCTAGAAAACCGAGGCTCTAAACTGAAAGTTCTTTTCTTCTTTTCTTTTGATTCAGACATGAACGCAAAATACGCCGTGGCGCTGATCCTCGCTCTGCAGGGTAAGAAAAGCTGCCAATGCAACTTATGGATGTCATTTTCAACTGGAGCTTTGGACGAGAAAAAATACAAAGTATAGAAATCAGTTGAATCATTGTTTTCTTCAATCCTTTTCAAACGAAGGATCAAATGTAACATGTTTGTCATTGCATTTGTTGAAACAATTTAATGAAAAATACCTAGTTTTACCAAGTTAGCATGCAAGACAAGGATCTTTTTAAAAACAAATTAAATACTGGTCAAATAAATCAAAAAGTATTATGAAGATATGCAAAGTACCTTTTCTTTGGTTCTTTGGTTGTTCTGCAAAAGCAATAATTCTGATCAAATAAACGTGTCTTGATACACTTTTGAGTGTTCGTAACATTCTGGTTCTGTTCCAGTCTCCGTGTGCCTGTGTCAGCTGCCCGAACCCTCGCCGGAGCTGGTTCAAAAGTACGACTCGATGAAATCTGTCTTCTACCAGAGGCTGCTGACGGCTTTCAACAAGCTGCACGCCAGCGCTGTGGCATCAGCCGATAGCGGACCGAACGCCAGGGACTTCGTTGAGGAGTTGCGGGCCAAGCCCGAGTTCCAGGCCCTCGTCAAGGTGGCCAGGTGAGCGTTTGTCACCTGTCGTGAATCCCAGAGAAGTGTCCACATCAGCTGCACAGCTTCACGCATGGAGGCTACGGTTGGGATGGCTGCTGCTGCTGTTGTTGCTGTTGTTGTTGTGCAGATGTTGGTGTTAAATGATCTGCCTTTCCTGCTTTGCGCAGCGGCCTGGGCCAGGAGGCCGCCCCCCTGGTGGACAAGGCCCGTACGGCCGCTCTGGGGACATACGAGCACTACGTGCGTCCCCACGTCGGCCAGCAGCTGAGCGACAGCATCGACCGCATCAAGGTCTACCTGGACATGTTCCTGCCCACCCAGTAGAGCGGAGCGTTGTAGCGTGATAGACGATAGAAAGTACACCAGGTTAGGCTGAGAAGAGCGATGCACCATGCACGTGCAATCCTTTGCCTCTTTTCAAATCATAATTTTTTTGCCAAATCATGCAGAGTTAAAAAGTAAAGTGAACACCACCTACGCAAATTGTGCATGTACAGTATTATGTGTTTGATACACTAACCAAAGTCTCTGTGTGGTTGTGTATGAATATGTGTGAGTGTGTTCATTAAAATGGATGGAAACGATCTGAAATGTGCTTCTTCATCAATAGATTCAAGGTTTACTCTCACGGCTTCTTCCGTTCGTTCTTACTCATGAGCTCCATTAAACGCCGTGTTGCTCATGCGTCAATCTTATTTACAAATAATAAACATAATTATTAATGTACTACAAACATCAAAGTGCAAAACAGTCTTATTGAAGGAAAATGAAGGCGTTAAAGGCATCAGTTTTATTACGATGAGCGATGAATCATTGAAGCATCTTTACATTTAGTCCTCATTATAATAATTATAATTGGTCATTGTAAACAGTGACACGCTGCTCTTCATTTCTGCCCCTTTCAGACATTCTGGTTATTATTTACTTTAGAGTTTATGAGCCAAGACGACTGATATCTGCATCCGTGTCTTTGTCTTCGTAAACTCGTCGTCTCTTCCATCAAAGCGCCGAATCAGCTGATTCAGTGAACAGACCTTAACACCTTAAGCCCAAAATATGAGATCAGAGCGAAGACTCTGCCTTCACTAGTTCAGTTAACAAGATGATCGAAGCACTCTGAGTACGTTTATATGGAAATAAAACAGCTCAGTTATTTGCAGTTAGATTTCAAGAGTTGAAATCCATTTAACTAATACACAAAAGTACATCATTGTAATTGTAATTACATATATATTCCTATATGGTTGCCTCATTAATCTATTTAAGGATAAGGATGAATAATTATTCATTTGTGTATCTATTCAAAATGTACTTGAGTCACATTACATGAAGAAGCTTCTCCCTGAAGGATCTCACATATTCAGAACAAATAGATTCGTATTTTATTTAAAGAAAAGAATTTGGAAATAATGCTGTATTGAATTGAGAAAGATTTAGTGAATGTCCCAATGAATCTATTGTGACTTGCACGTCTCCTGCCACTGCAAAGAAAAGTCAAAATATTTAGCAACTAGTATCATTATTATGTTACTTTATAAAGAGGAATACAAATTGTGTGAGCAGACCACAAACAGAAAAGGAACAAACCGACTTGTGTGCATCATTGATTGTTCCTCTGATCTAATGCATAGACAAGGGTGGGGGGGGTCAAAGGGATGGTAGCCTCCCGGCCAGGGGGGCGCCACCCACCCGCCCAGGTGAGGACGAGGTGTGAGAGAAGACTTGCACCTGAAGCTGATCACCTGACGCGACTCTTGCTTCTGATCGCTGCGCTTACCACCAAACCCCCGGGTCACAATCACCCCAAAACGACGACCTCACGTGACCCCCAGCGTTTCCATAACAACATGTTTGGGCGGATGACGTGTGTCGACGCCGCCGTGTTAGCAGGACTTAGGACTATTGTAACGTTGTGCGTCCGCTGCTGTCAGGGATCAATGGAAAATGTCTGATCTGGCTGCACTCAAAGGTGGCTAATGGGAAAGGTACCGACACAACGCCCCCCACCCCAGACCCCCAGTCCCCCCAGTCCCCCCAGCCCTCCCAGCCCCTGTGCCCATGACGCCCAACCAGTGGCTTTTGATGGTGTTTGAAGCGCCTCCGCGGTCCGATTCCCGTGTTTACAGAGAACAGCGATGTCTGCTTCATCAATACGCGAATGTCCCACACTCCCTGAAAGGCACAGAGCAGCTTTATCTTCCCCAGGATGCACTTTGGCTCTGGGACCAACGAGTAAACACATCGTGGCTCCTATATAAACAGGCCGGCCCTCCGGGGGCCTCTTACTCTGTCTCCTGAGGCGCGATACAGTGAGTACTGAACCTTTTCACTCCGGGGCCTTAAAAAGCACGACTTCTATGTTCGAAGATTTTACGAAAAAACAATGTTCAACATGATTCTAAACCGGAAATAATGTTTTAGTCTTGATATTAATTAATTAAGTCCACACAGCAGCTCGTCTGAGCATAGAAGTGTAAGACAATGTCTCACCCTGGTGGATGAAGTGAGGTGAGCCTGCGAGTGTCTGTCTCTGTCCTCGTAGATACGAGCGGCAGTATGAAGAAGCTGCTGGTTGTCACCGTGCTGGTTGCCCTGCTCGCTCTCGGTAAGCGCGTCCTCTGAAAACACCGAGGGGATCAACGTGTGATAATATGAGTTACTCTGCTGATCGAAAAAAAAAAACACCTCTGACCTGTTTTGCTGAAGGCGCCGAAAGCTTCCGCATGCCGAGGCAGGCCGAGGAGGAGGAGGACGAGGGCGCCCTGTCCAAGATCACGGGCACCTTCATGTCCTACTATGACAGCGCCGTCAACACGGCCAGCGGCTACCTGGACACCATCAAGGGCCTGAAGCTGGAGGAGAAGGCAAAGTAAGACCTCCTCAGAGACGGAGTCATTGATGCCGTGTGTGGATGCCGGTTTAAGCGCTTCTCTGTCCCACAGGAACATCTACAGCGACACCAGCACAGTCGTGAGCACCTACGCGGGCATTGCCCACGACCAGCTGTATCACATCTTTTACCAGAAGTAAACAAGAACCCACCTCCAGCCGCCTCGTCTGCCTTGTCGGACATTGTGAGAACTTTCAAGCTCCACACGCTTCCCCCCCCCCCAAAGCCTTAGAACCCACAAAGGACGCTTTCTTGGGTGAATGAAGAAAACCACCCGACAGGGACCGTGATCTTGCTCAGAGGGACGCGTTGGTGGTTGAGAAGCTCAATGCAACTCGTCCAGAACCATCGGGTTTCTCCTCGGGGGCCTCAGACACAACCGGCCGTCCAAATAATACAAATCATTTAATGCTCTATCGCCCCCTACTGGTGTCGTGAGTCGTCCCTCATCTGGATAAAGTGAAATATTTTTGTGTCATTTCATGAAATAAAATATTTATGCCAGACACTTGTGCCTGTGGTGGATACATGTGAGTCCAGGAGGTGAATTGTGCACGCGTGAATCTGGAACGAGTTACTCTGCTTTTATCAACCGAGGCAACAACACAACAGAGAGGCTTCTGTTAATTAATAATGGATGAAAAAAACAAAAAACGACATCACAGAGACGAACAAACAAACAAAGACTGAGGTTTGTTTGGAGGATTCTGACGAGTGATGTTGTGTTAGTTCATAAATCTACAAGAATCCCCTTGTTACGCAATATGCAGGAAACACTCTGATCACACGCCCCAGTAATTACGACTCAACGGCACGTTCACGTCCTCCAGTGTGCGGCCTCCGTTTCCCCTGTTTCACAATCTGGAGAAGAGCTGCACTCGACAACGTGTCAAACGTTGTCCCTCAGCTGGAGACTGGGATCAGATTTGGCTTTGACGCTAATTTCGTTTTACTCACAATCATCTGAGATTATTTGGATTCCCCCTCCAGGTTACTGGGGGGGGGGGGGGTTTCCTTCTTTAATTAGAGCTCTTCATTTGAATGTTCCGTAGCTGTCAGACATTGAGGGATGTTTTGTGAAGGAAAGGAATCATTGGTTGTTTCGTTGCAGTTATTATAACCTTTGCCTTCATTGTGCTGTTATAGATAGATAGATAGATTGATACTTTATTGATCCCTCAAGAGGGAAATTTTGGTATCACAGCAGCATGTACAGGGAAGAAAATAGAATAAAAAGATACACATTATATACAATATAATAAGAGAAATATTAAATTATTAAATTAAATTAAATAAACTGAAACAAAAGAATAACCTTCCAAAAGAGGCAATAATAATAATTTGTAAACGGAGAAGAGGAAGAGCAGCAGCATCACAGCAGTGCAGGGTTGTTATTGTCATTATTTAGCCTGGGATGGTTTATTGTAGAGTGTTATTGCACTGGGCAGGAATGACCTCCTGTATCGGTCCTTGTGACAGCGGAGCTGAAGGAGTCTGTTGGAGAACGTGCTCCGCTGTCCCTGCAGCAGGTGGTCAGGATCCTGTGTTTTGTGTTTGGCTGTTGTTTAACGTGTGGACTCCAATCCACGAGAACCGGAGCTCCTGAGAGCTCAACCAGCTGTGCGTGGCTCCACCATAGAATTATTTATCGGCGGAAACAAAATTTATTCAGAGACTCAAAAGGGACAAGGAAAAATAATAGCAAATATCTGGGTTTACTGAAGGAAATCTGGGATGAACAAAGACAATCGTCCTCCTACTGAACAGCAGAGGGCATAATGTCTCCACCTCGACCTCCGTCATCGGGGTTCGTTCCGTTGGTTGATTACGGCACCATGAGTCGTTTTAGAGTGCACCATAAAATGTCTGTGCAACACTTTAAACTGTAACTTCAATCTCCTTTATCTCTGAACACTGTCTCTCAGGCACCGTGAGACGGGTCTTCTTTGTCCCCTGAAAACGAGACGCGTCACTCAAACTCAACATGCTGTTTAGTGGGTTTAATTCTCCCGGAGAGATAAAAGGCCAAAGCAGGGAGCCACGAACAGGATGTGACATCACTTCTCTGTCTCAACGTGTCTCAGTGTGACTCGCGGTCATTGCAGAGCTAACAAGGAAACGTCCTGTTTCAATGAAAACGCCAAAGTCACTAATTAAAAGAGGTAGACCTTGAAAATAGTATTTACACGAGGTGTAGCCCTTAATGCTCCAACAAGAGAAGTAAGTAACCGACCTGAAGAGGAGGAAGAATCCAACGCTCGGGTAGGAAGCAAACTCGAAATTGTAGATATAAACAACAACAAAAAAATAAATGTCAAGTGTTCAGGCCCTTTATGTTTTATTCATGAATCGTTCTCCGCGATCCCTCATTTTCCCTCATTTGCTTCAGCTAAAGAGTTTCCCCAGCTGGCTAATAGCTGCGCCGCTAATTAGCTGAGATGTTCTCCGGAGAGCGCCACGATTTGATCATGTGACAGCGGGTGTTTGTGTTGTTCCTCATGTCGAACGGCAAAACCACGAGTCAACGCAGGAGGACAAAAATGACGTTTAAAGCTCCTCTAATCGATGTTTTACAGAACGAGCATATTAATGCAATCGGACAGATTGAGGCGACCGGCTTTCTTCTGGCGATCAGGCAGCTGTTTTCTGTAAGATGCCCCATTAAAACTACAAAACCTACTGCAACGTGACCCCACGATGTCCCTCTACTGCATTAATGGGGAGCACCACTGGAGGGGGGTAAAGCCCCAGGAACGCAGGCGGGGGCCACAGAGGCGCCTTTTTCCTGCTGACGGGGGGGACGTGAACGTTGCTATCTTAACGGCGCAGAATGTACGCGGTGGCCCGCAAACGGCGCTCTCACCTCGCGACTTCGCCGACGCGCCGAGTACAAAGAAACACACACACACTCATGCTTCATACACAAGAACAAACACACACACACACACACACACACTTACATGCCAAGTGACTGGCAGCTGTGTCCATAATCGCCCACGCAGCTGAACGTAGGGGCCGCTCTGCCATCTGTTACCAGGGCCGCCCCCCCTCCGCCCCCCCCAACCGGCCCCCCCGGGGCCCGCTCGCTCTGCGGGAGACAGAGGTCACACTCAGGGGTCACTCTAATAAAAATGCAGTGGTTTAGGTGGTGCAGAAGGTGCACGACACATTGAAATGTAGGCCGACCTGTGGAGGCCAGATGCATCTTCCTGCAACTCCCACTCAGAATGTAATGGACCGACACGAGGCGTTTGTTTGGAAGCGAGGGTGACCTGCGTGGTCTTCATCAGATGTTTGGAGTGATTCTAGCGCTCCGCGTCTGCGTGTTTATTTCTCCGCTTCACACACAAACACACAAACGCTCACAGAGTCAGAATCCTCTCTCAGTGTTACCATCCTGGGCTCACGTTTGTTATCACTCCCTGCCTCCGCCTTGCTGGGGACCCTCTCCCAATTTGTCAAGATCCTCCCCTCACCTGTTCCTCTCTCTCCCGGCTCTCAGGGCTCGCACGCCCACGCTGAAAACAAACGGCGAGGAGCAAAGCTGATTCATGAGGCACCTCGACCGAGGAGGAGATCTTTCTCCTGGGTGATAATCACCGGTTTGGTAAAACATCTGTAAAGCGAATGGCGGGCGACCCCCCCCCGCCCCTCCCTTCTTCCATCAGCGCTCCATCCTCGGTGGCACACGAGGCCGAAAAAGTTACCAACGCACACTCAGACCTTCAAAATGATTCTTATTTGTCTTTCTTTTCACAAAGATGTAAATTAACATGAGGGGGAGCTGGAGGGGGGAGGGTGGGGGGGGGGGGGGTGGTCTTGCATGTGTGTGTGTGTGTGTACGCGTGTGTGCGTGTGGGAACACACTGTATGTGTGTGTGTCTGTTCAGTGCCTGACGGCTCGTTGAGAAGAGCTCAAGTCAATCAAGCCGGACCCCCCCCCCCCTCCTCCCCTCCCTACCTCCCTCCCTCCCCCCGTCCCATCGAGACCTGCGGCTCATCGGGGGAGATAATTAGACTGAAGAGCTTTAATGATGCTAGCCTAATAGCTACAAAGCACAGTGCGGGGCGGCGGCGTGCGCGCGTGTGTGCGTGCACATCTGTGCGTGCACATCTGGCAGCGTGACGCTGTGGAGGCAGCGGTGAGTGAGCGAGTGATTAAAATGATGTTTTGTTAACACTGAGTTTATGAGGGTGTGTGTGTAGGGGGGGGGTATGGAAGCTGATGGGATAATGACTGTTATGGCTATCAGCCTCCATCCCACACACACACACACACACACACACACACACACACAGTCAGGTTGTGTGGGATAAAAGCAAGTGTGAAACTGGGAGACAAACAGAGAAGGTGGGAGGAGGCGTTACGCTTTCGTATTGGAAATGGCAGTGAATTTAAATGAGCACTTTGGAGGACGAGAGCTGTTAAAGCTAAACGCAGAGACAAAGAATGCTTACATATAGGGCGTGGACACAATAATGAGAACATTTCACGCCACACACTAGCTTCACGTTTTAAACATCAACCTGAAACTGCTGAAAACAATAAAGCTCTCTGACGGTTTGAATAAAAGAATTGTTTACGCATACTCTTTTTCTCCATATATATATATACATATATATATATATATATATATATATATATATATATATATATATATATATATATATATATATATCATATTCATGTTCATATGAACTTGATTTCATTCGGTTTTAAAGCACTCAATGACTTCAGCGTCCTACTTACCCACTTAGCATGCTGCCACGTTGCACTTCTGCACCACTTTGGAAAATACATTTTTAAAAATGTCTTTCATACCTTTCACTACTTCATCCACAGCTGGATTTTTTTTTGCCATCCAAATGGGAATCAAGCCTTTGTGCTGCAAAGACCTGAGCGAACACACACACACACACACACACACACACTCAGAGTGTCTCACACACACACATTTTCAGTAATGGTTTTCACAAAAAGGGGCCACGGCTACAAAGACGTGAACCCCACAGGGAATCCATTCGCCTTCCCGTGCAATCATCGTGCACTCACTCCTAAAAAAAACACCACGGACCGGCGCCGTTGCCGTGGATACACATCGACGCATCGCTCCCTCTAACCGCCTCTTTTTTTTTTTTTTCAAATGTACCTTTTTCCCTCCTCCGGAACCCCAGTAATCCCCGCGGATGGGTTGGCGCTCCCGCTCCGCTGCACCAGAACACGCTCTTTCCTGTGTGAGGAGTGTGTTGCAGCGAGAAAGCTTCACCTGAGGGCTCAACAACAAAGGCCACACAAATGATCGCACAGCGGCAGATACACTGTGCGCGTAACGCACAACGGTCGGACGGCTGGCGGATGGTGGTTGGTTTCACCTCTTTGGTCTGGTGGATAACAGAGATTTGGGAGAGTTTGTAAATGTGAAGAGCAGACACAGCTTGTCAGGGCAGGTGATGTGGACGCCTGGGGCGGGGGGGTGTTTGGGGAGTAAATGTTTGACAACAACATGCTATTATAGTTGAGAGGGGAAGGCGGGGGGGGGGTAGTTGTTGAGTAAAGCCGGTTGATTCCGGTAACACGGTGTTCCACTCTGCTCCTTGTAGGAATGAGGGGCAGACGGCTGATTAACCGGAACGGACGGCGTGGACTCGGCTTTCTGTTGCTCTGCAAACGCAGGAAAGAGCATTTTTGGCACGCGAACAACTAAGCTTTCACTCCACTGGCTCCCTGGGAGTCTCTCGCACTTATCTAAAAAATGTCCCGTCTGCTGCATGAATCAATGCCTTTTTTTTTTTAATTTGGGTCTCTCTGAACTTCTTCTGCTTCTGTATTTTTCTGCTGCTGCCTCGCGGATGAATAAATCATTTCAAGTGCAGCATAAGAATTCTACTTGAAAAGAGAGAAATCCCCACCCCACCTCGAGGGCCGAAAACCTGCGATCGCAGAACTCTTTGGTGAGTCAGGATTGAAGCAGAGCAAAAGTAGCAGAGCCAGCGCTGATCCACGAGGGCGGCGCCATGACCCCTGACCCCCCCCCCCCTCGTCCTCACCGTAGCCAGCGGGCAACCTTTGAAACACGAAACGTAACCCCGCCCCCCTCGACCTGCGTGTCAAAGGTCGACTTTGCGAACGAATGCCTCCAAACTCTTCTGCGCCGCCGAGCACAAACACGGAAATAACACACACGTATAACGCACCGGGGGGGGGCACGAGCAACACACACAATCTGTGAGGAATGTTTGCCCCCCCCCCCTCCAGGTCAGGACCAGAGGAGCGGTGTTACGGTGTGTGTGGGGAGTGAATCATTTACACTAACACACACGCACATCTCACACAAAAACACTCTCACGCAACGCGTTGTGCTGCTGTGTGTGTGTGTGTGTGTGTGTGTGTGTGCGAGGTTATGCAGACCCACTTCACCTGATCCAGAATGAAATAAAGTGGTCGGATAAGCAGATAAGAGCCCAGCTGAGATGAAATGCCAGGGCCTTCTCACACACACACACACACACACACTCACAGACACACACTCAGAGAAGAAGGAACCAACCCTGCGTCGTGTCTTCTATTCCTGCAGAGAGCGGCTTGATGAGACGCCGCGCGGCTGCTGGTGGCCGCTTCCATTAAAGGCGACGGAAGCAACGCGGCCAACGAACGGCGTGAAACAGAAACGCAGGTTCGAGGGCGAATAGACGAGGGGGGGGGGGGGGGGGAGGAGGCTGCTCTAAAACGCACCACAAGTCGTTCGCTGAAGATCCTGTTTATTTTCCGGCGGCAGAAGAGGCGACGCGACGGCAGATCCCCATCAGTAAGTCGGTGAAGCGCGTGAGAGTAATTACGGGGATCTCACGGGGACGCCTTAAGTCGCTCTCAGTGCCGCTGCCATTACATTGTTACAACACACAAGGGAAACACAAACACTTTTCACAGCATGTGTGTGCGTGGTTGCAAGCGTGATGGAGAAAGAGGAGCGTGTGAGCTGGATGGATGCTGTGAATGCAACAACTGTTTTTCTCTGCTCTCTTTGTGTGTTTGCCTGCAGGTGTGCGTGTGTGTGTTTTTCAGGTGTTCTCTGAGTTTGGCAACAAGGTCAAGTGCAAAGAATGTGTTCCTCTTTCATTGCGCTACGCAACTCGACATGCTTCAAGGTCTTTCAGGAGCCTTGGTTGCAAGTACACACACAAACACGCGCGCACGTTGTGGCTGTTGTGTAGCTCTCTGTGTGTGTCGCTGTGGGGGCTCCCACGTTTCTCAGTGCATATCATCACCCCCCCAAAAAAACACCAGCGTGTGTGTGAGTGTTTTATTCTCCAGACAGCTGCCGTGCTGTAATGTTAGCCAGGGGGGGGGGGGGCGGAGCCTGAGGCGGGGAAATGGGCGGAGCTCAGAAGTTCTCTGAGGATCTGATCTGCTGCAGCTGCTCCTCAGCTCCTGCAGGCTCTCTCTCCTCCTTTTCCCCTCTTTTCTTCTCGGGGGGATTCCGTTTGGTTGCTCCAGTATTTGTATCCTCTGTTGGAACGGTGTGCAAACGCAATCTCCATCACCTGCCGCAAAGTTCACCTGGTGGTGACGTTCTCCAGCAGTTTTTTTGTGACACACTTGTTCCTTTGGTCCCGTTCAGCTCATATTTGTAGGTACTTATCTTATAGTGAGTGTGGGACATCGAGTAGATCACCTTTTGAACGGTTTAACTAAATCTCGGAGTTGACCTCGGCCTGTCACGGACAATCTAGGTGACCTTTGACCCTTGTGCATTAGCTCAGACACCCCATGATGCCATTAACGTAGATTAACTGCCGTCACATTCTTGCTCTCACAGATCAATGCGAAGTATTTATAGTTGTTTTCTCGCTCTTATCGCCGTCTGTTACGGTGAGCAGACATAAATCAGACAAAACAATAATAAATAAACCAGCCCAAATCTCACAGGTGGGCCGGCATTCCTGAGTGACACCCGCTCACCTCCACCACACACACACACACACACACACACGCGCGCGCTGTCCGTCATAATCACAGCCGTGCGGCACACACATGGAGCCACACAGGATATTAAAGCGCCGGACACGTTCGCCACACAGGCGCTCTTTCATTATTCATCCCGACCCACTTCTCTGTCTTCTACTCCCTTCCTCGTCCTTCCACCCTCCTGTTTTTATCAGGCGGATTCATGAGCTCTTCACAAGGCGTCTTCTGTTTTGGTCCTTCGTCACCCAAGCTTCTCACTTCCGCTCCTCTCGTGCTCTCGTCTCCTCCCCTTTTTATGCAGCACATTTGACGCTTTTGTGTGTCTTCATCAACCGTCTTCTTCCCTCCCGTTGTCCCCCGACTCAACCCGTCCTCTCCGCTGATCTCCACGTTCCACGGGGAACGTCCCCCCCCCTGCCTCATTGCTTCTGGCTCTGTGTGTGCAAACTGCATCAGCGCTGATTGTGTATGATGGAGCACATGTAGTCAGCTAGTCTGTCTCCGGAGTCTTGTTCGACCTGGATGAATCCCAACACACACACACACACACACTGCAGCGTGTGTCTCCATGTCTTTCTGTGTGTGCACGCTGGACTGAATGCGTGTCCGTCCGATCGGGGGGGTCGCGCAGGCCGAGGGGACGGACAGCGGCTGTCATTCCTCAAAAGGCCGACACTAAATGGCTGAATCAGTTTAAAGCTACTGTAACTAAACCCAGCACGACAGCTCACAGTGGTGGGGGGGAGGGGAGGGTGGGGGGGGGGGGAGGAAGGGCGCTGCGAGGGATGAGAGTAATCCCGCTCGTTGTTGGCTGGAGTGAAAAGCACTGATCCCCCCCCCCGTCTCTGTCTCTATTTACAACGTCCAGAGTATTTAACGGTTGTTTAACACAATATCTGAGAGATTCATCAGCACACGTTTTAAGCTCCATCAAGTTCTCCACTCTGCTTCAGCGTGGTGCAGGCGGAGGTCGTGCGGTGTGTTCGCGGGGTGACGGGCTGCCTTTAAAACCACAATCCCCCCCCCCCCCAACGATTGATGTGACCGGTCCTTCCTTTCATTGCTGAGTAATTAGAGACTCACGTCCCACCGTGTCGATCTGTCAGTCAGCAGAAGGCCGTCGGCGGGAGTCTTTACGGAAACTGTTCCCACGACATCTTGGGAAATGAAGGTGAATCGTCCTCCTCCGGATGTGCGGATGAAATAGAACGTTTGGGTGATTTGCTTGCTGCTTCTGATGCTCAAAAGCTCACACAGGAATTCAGTGTGAATTCTTTCCTTTGTGTTTGCAGGTTCCACTGTGCGGTTCTACAGTCGCAGACCCCCGGGGATGCTGACACGGACCCCCCTCCCCCCCCGCGTCAAAACACACCCGAGGGGCCGATATCGATGCCGTTATTTACAATTTCCATAAATCTCCCTCTTCCGTCAACGCGCTCGCACGCCCTAGAGACTCACTACTCTTCTTCAGTTACACTGATGACTACTCCCTAGTCACGTGAGACGCGGGCGTTTCTATCTCTTATGCCCCGTGCCCAACCAAGCAGGAGGGGGGGGGGGGTCAAGGGGGTTTGGGGGGGGGGTTTGGGACAACAGCGCCGATTGGCCCGGAGCCAGAGTGTGTTTGCAGGCTAAAACAAAATTGGCACGAGGTGGACGCAGCGTTACGTCACCAGGGATCTTCACTGTGTGCGATTATGATTATAGCCGCTATTGATTAGCTGCCGACTGTTACGTGTCAACGTCCAAAGCTGCGCCGAGAGATTCCGCAGGTGATTGACGGCTTCGCTCCGAAGTCTCTTCTGAACACGAGAGCAAGCAGAGCGCTGAGACATGAGCATCCGTCATTTTTCCGTCACAACAAATCACGGGACGGATCAACGTGGACGAGGACGGGTTCAACATGCCGGGTTGCATCAAAGAGATTTCATTTTGGTTCAAGCAAAGTATGAATTTAGTTGTCATCTTCTGGGAAGCGTAAGAAAAAGACACGCGGACGAAAGGCATCGGAAGCTGTTTGTTGATTGCTTTCCGTCTGCTGTGTGATTGATCGACGTTTGTCGGACAAACTCTGGCTTTTGCTTCCGTTCTACAAGCTGCGTGACGGAAATGAAATGAAATAAAACAGTGTTGCAGATACGGCAATAAAAACACAGAGAACGTGTGTTCTGGAGTTTTGTTTCTTTATAAATTCTACACAGCTGGAACCAAATAAAAAGATACATCAACACACCACAGAGGTCGAAACAGTGTAGCCCAAAATATACAGTATACAGAGAGAAACTGAGAATATCTCCTAAAAACACAATCCTCCTAAATAAAAAACAACAACATTTCTCTCTTGTCTCGGAGCGAGTGGCAAAGAACGGGGAAAAAAGAAAACTCAGTAGTTCCAAAATAAAGAATCCCCCTTTCTGAAAAAAAAACAACAACTTGCATACCACATTATTTTTTTATATAAAACATTAAAATCAAATCACCGGTTGGCGAGATCAGTGGACGGACGTTCGCCACTTGATGAGCCGACATTCTTTCACAAATCAAGGCCCTCGGTTCCAGTGTACAACAAACCCCCCCACAAAGAAATACACTCAGAAACGCTCCCATTTGGTAAAGATGACAGTGTTAAGCTCAACAGACAGTGTGATGGCAGTACAGGGGAATGACGCACTGACGCGATGGCGAGAAGGAAAAACGGGCGCATGGCGGCTCGAGCGATGGCATTTGCAGCTGAATTTACAAAAGCGAGGAAAGGGATAATTGTCGTTATTAAATGCGCTGAGCTTTTTCTACAGAGAGATAATTAGGTGTATTGTAAAAAAAAAAAAAAAAAAAACCCCACAAAAAACACAAAAATTCACAGGTGGCAAATTGACCAAACGGCACTGAAGCACGGACGCTGATGGGGAGTGATTGAGAGCGTAAACCGCCACGTGCTCGTCGGGGTGAACAGAAGCAGAGAGGTACCGCGTGAGACTCGGCGGCAGAACAGACCGCAGACTGAGCCCCCCCCGCCGAGGCAGCGTCGGGGTCTATTCTGCAGACGAGTCGGTGAGGAGGAACCAAAAAGGGAGCTTTGGGGTTTTAAACCTGCGGAAGCACGAGCAATGGATTCGCCTCCCACACCAACGTCCATATTGTCCCGCGCAGTGGTGAATGAAAGGTCCTGTTGTCTTTATGACTGGTCACCTCCTTCCCTTCATCCTTTCGTTGTTGTCGCTTTGTTTCATCACTGGGAGAGAAAAACACAAAAAAGAACAATGAAAATGTTTAATGGTCAAACATTACTGAATAGAGAATGTTCTTTAAATATAATACGAGGATTTTTACCATCACTAAAAGTGATAATATCACACCTTGTGTCCCTGTTTTTCATTTCATCCTTCTCTATCTCACCGACCCGATGCTGATAAACATCTGCACATATTTTCTACGATACAATCGTTTCAATCGGATGTCACATGTTACGTGTTGAACGTACGTGTTGCATTGTGGGGGAATCGAGTACCTTCATGGCAACGCTGACATGGAACAAGGGGAGGAAACATTTCCTGCAGCGCGAGCAACACATTGAACAAAGGAAACAAAGTCGCTTAAATGGAAACTATGTTCCCATCCGATGTCCTTGAAGCTGTTCCTGCATCCCGGCAGTCTGGAGCATCAGGAGTTACATTCATGAACGCCCCCCCCCCCCTCTTAAGCCCGTTGGCCTGACCTGTTGTGTGGAGGGTCTCCTTGTTGAGGAGGCCGGCTCTTCGTTGGGCCTTGTCTGCCTTCATCTCCACCACGACCTCCTTGTTCACTTCTCCACTGACCCTGGGGGGGCGACGAGAGAAAGGTGTCAACAATATGGGAATTATCTGGACAAATAATGGATGGAGACACCATCCAACCATGATGAACCCCCCCACATTCTTAAATGTATCACTTTCAGCAGTTTCTCTATTTATTAAACTGAACCCCTTTGTTCAAAACGCCATCGCGTAGTTTCCCTCCAGTTGTTGTGGAGTCTCATGAGGTAACACCTCCTCATTAATGCCCCCCCGTCCCCCGTCCCCCGTCTGTACTCACACGTCCTTCTTGTCCTTCTTGCTGCAGGGCAGCTTGTCCTTCTTGTTCAGGAAGTAGATGAGCGCCACCATCAGCAGGAGCAGCAGGACACAAATCACCACGGCGATCACCACGCTGCTGGAGCCCCCCTGCTGCTCGCCCGCTACAGCGCCGCAACCAGGGACACACGGAGGGAGGGGTGGAGGGACGCATGGTTGGTTGGAAGGTGGCGGGGGGGGAGGGTGGGGGGGGAGACGAGGGCGGGTTGGGAAGGGGGTGAGCACAGTGGAGGATGGGGATGGAGTTTTTGATTTTGGGGGCGCAGTGGTAGGCGGAGGGTAATCATGAGGGGCGTTTGATTCGTGGGGGCAGAGGAGAAGGAGGTAATTTCATTAGGGGGGTACGACAGGAGGGGGGCGAGATGGGAAGGAGAGGAGGAAGGGAGGGGGGGGGGGCAGATGAAGACAATAGATGGACGGGTGGAGAGGGGGAGGGAACGGGGGAGGGAACGGGGGATGGGGTGAGGGGTTAGTGTAACTTTCAATTGAACTGAAATGTGATGGAACCCAAAACGTCGTCGACAGAAAACAACACGCACATACTCACCCAACGACTTGTATTACTACGCCCGGAGGACACGACGCTACATCTACTCCATCTACATCTACGCCATCTACATCTACTCCATCTACATCTACTCCATCTACATCTACTCCATCTACATTAGCTGTGTGTTGCTAAGGTGTGTGTTGGACAGTGGTGGTGCAGGATGCTCATGCGATGGACTGACTGATGGACCATTGATGGAAGGCGGGGCGGGGGGGGGCGGGGCGGGGGAGTGGGGGGCACTGGGTTCCTACGGTCTACCTGTTGCCTGGCAACTTGACAGTAATGAAAGGACTCGAGGAAAAGTCAAACCGTCCCTCTAACTCTGCACCACCGCCGTGTTCCCACAGTTAACCCGGTTGGTGGAGCCCAGATGCATCGTCAACGGGGGGTGGGGGGGGGGGGGGGGGTCGCGCCCCCCAGTTTGGGAACCGCTGAGTTAACCATTTGAAAGCGGGGTAACTGTGTCAGGTCGTGATGGAGGCTCCTCCCTTAACTGAAGCGTGTCCTCTCAGCGACGGCAATACAAGTATGGACACACAAACACGCGAGCTCCTGTAAACACGTTTAGTGCTGCGTGTGCACACGTGGACGCACAGTGACTCACAGCTGGAGACGGACGCCACACACACACACGTGTCACAAAGGGGTTAGCGGTACAGACCTGACTCAAGCACGGGGTTTCCAGAGAGCAGCACTTTGAGAGAAGAAGAGTTTCTCAGTCGCACAGCGGAGCAGAGCAACAGGCACACGGCGCACAAAAGCAGAGGTTACTGAATGCTACACACACAGACAGACACACACACACACAGCAACCCGGCGAGTTGAAACGGCGAAAAAAGGAAAAGCGAGAAAAAGAAAGAAAACGGTCGGAAGGCAGCGGCGACCAAGAAGGAGACACGGTGAAGAAACAAAGAGAGGAAAGGAAGGAATAGAATAGAATAGATTCCTTTATTGTTCCCAAGAGGCCACAAAAAGTCATAGTAGCTTCCACCAAATATACGACAGACATTATACAAAGGTGACAAGAGAAGAAGAAGAACAATATACAATATCCACAGTGTTCGGTAGCAAGGGGGGCGAAATATACAAGATTACACTACGGTGGAGGGAGCGTGTAGTAGTGTGTATGCGTGTGTGTGTGTGTGTGTGTGTGTGATGGAGGGGCCGGGGCAGGAGGAGACGGGTGGGGGAGGGGGGGGGGGGATCTAAACTACACAGAGTCCTGACAGAAGGAGGGAGGAGAGGAGGAGGAGAAGGAGAAGGGAGAAGGCTCTACCTCTGTCGGCCGAGCTGCCAATCGCTGCGAGACGAGAAGAGAGGAGGAGGAAAGCGTGTGAGACGTGGATGAAGACATTAGCAGACTCGCGTAGTCCCTCCGGACTTCGGTTAGCAATCGGTTGCTAGGAAACATGCTCAGCACCGAACAGACAAAAGCAATCGTCTGCGGATGTAACAGGAAGCCCGTGTAGCATCACAAAGCAGTTTGATAAGTCGGATTTAAAGAACTGACATGGAGAAACTTTCCGAATTCAGCTAAATTAGTTTCTTTTGCTCTTCAAGTCAGCTCAGATAATTCGCTCGAGCATAAGAACTAGTTTGTGTGACGCATTGATCTCCATTGAGTGAATATTAGAAACAGTCGGCCCTCGCCGTGCACACTGACCTCTCTTGAGAGACACCGCGACGGTCTTGCTGTCGGCTCCGTGCTCGTTGGAGACCTGGCAGGTCACGCCGTCCTTCATGACCTGGGCGGTGGCCTCCAGCGTCACGGTGCTCACCACCTTGTTTCCTTCCACCGACACCGACTGCCAGGAGCGACATTCCTCCCGTCAAGTTCCCTCATCGCACAATCAACATTTTGCTCAAATAGTTCTAAAACCAGCACACCAAGACCTGCAAACTTAACTTTTGACCCCCCCTGTTTGAAACCAGACTGTATCCCTCCCAGCAGCAGTAATCACACCCCTTTACTAATTGATTTGTGGTAATTGCACGCGGGAGGAACTCGGCCGTTTCTCCCTCTCGGGTCGTTTTCTGCAGCCGTACCTCTTTGCCCGACGGCTTCCAGGTGAACTGAGGGGGGGGGGAGCCGTACGCGGAGCACTTCAGAGTCACCGCGTCCCCTTCCTGCCCCACCTCCCCGACAGCGGGCGTCTCCATCATCGGCTTTCCTGCCGAGGGGGAGAGAGAGAGAGACAGAGAGAGAGAGACTTTAAACAAGAACCCACTGGAAACGGGGACTGGTGCATGCTGGGAAATCGGATCATCAACTTTATTAAATGATTTATTACAACACACTGAATGAACATATCCTATGGGTTAAGGTTATATTATAATAACAATATATTATAAAATGAACTGACCCCCCACAAGCTGACACTGACATTAGTGTGTGTGTGTGTGTGTGTGTGTGGATCCGGCCCGTTACCTTTCACAGTGAGGTTCACGCCGGCCCGGGCGGTCAGACCCGGCACGGACGGCACAGCTCCAACACACACGTACTCTCCGGCATCACGGTAGGAAGCCTCTTGGATCGACAGTACGCCGTCCTGGGAGAGAACCTCGGAGCCCTGCAGGGACGCACAACAGACACACACAAGCGCCGTCTTTCTCTGTATTCTGCGCGCGCGAACGGCGCCGCGCGGACCGTCTGGTTTCCGCGGCGTGCAGCTGTGCCGGGAGAGCCTCCGCACGCGGCGTTCCCGCAGAGCAGCGCCCCCCAGGAGACACAACAACAGATACACGACGACCACAAACAGAGAGACGCGGCGTCCAAGTGCACGGGAGGCGGAGCAGCAAAAACAACGGCGTTCCTAGAAAGAGACGAGCGCTCCGCTTCCAGGACGCACCTTCTTCCAGTGCACCGTGTGGAGGGCGGAGGCCCTGGTCTTGCAGTGCCACTCCACCTTGTCTCCCAGCGAGACCACCTGAGGCTCTGCGGGGGTCACGCTCACCGGGTCGATGTCTGGGGGGGAGGAGAATGGGAGGAGAGGGAGACACGTGAATTTTTCTCAAACCCATTCCACGCCTCCAGCTCGCCTTAATGTGATCAAATCTAATTAGGGAGTAAAGTCACAGATGAACTGTGAGGAGTTGAATTGGAAACCGGCCCCTCTGGTTTAAAGCTACTGTGTGATTAACTAATCAAAAGAGAACAAAGTGCAACAACCGGAGTCCAATTGTTCTTTGTGTGTGCGTGTGTGTGTGTGTGTGTGTGTGTGTGTGTCTTTGCCTCACTCACAGTTGACAGTGAGGCCGATGGTTCCAGTGAGGTCGGCGTCCATGTTATCGAAGTCCGTGGCGGAGCACTTGTACACACCCGCCTCCGTGCGCTTGACCGACTCGAGGACCAGCAGGCCGTCCTGACCGCTGACCACTTTCCCCTGTGGGACAGAAGACCGCAGGACTGAGACGGAGAAGACTTTCGGGAGGAGACGAGCGAAAGCGACGAAGGAAACGCTCCCTTTCTCCCGAACCGGCGCGCACGTACGTCTTTGGTGAAGTCGAACTCGGGCTGGGGGTTTCCGTCGGTCTCACACTTCATGGTGACGTCGTCGCCCTCCTTGACGGGGTCCGCGTTGAGGAGGGAAAAGGTGGCTTTCTCCGAGGGGTCTACGTGCACAAGAAGAGGCGTGCGACAGGTGGACACGTCAATCGGCGGGTGGGAAAAGGCGTTCCTGAGGGACGCTTTACGTTCCTCGTCCCTCATCACTCTCCTCGAGCAGAACATCAGGGAGACGTGACGAGACTGACTCTGCTAATCAGACTGTATTCCTCAGAAGTCATTTCTCGTGACCCTGAAGCTCATTGTGAAGCTTAAGTACGTTCCACCTGATTCCTCCGCCTAAAGCGTCAGATACGACGGGTTGGTTAACTCACAGTTGAGGTTGATGGTGATGGTGTCGGACTTCTTCTGCCTGATCTGCTCTCCCGGCATGCTGTACTCCACGGTGCACTGGAACACGGAGTCCTTGTCCGCCTTCTTGGGCTGCATGTAGAGGGTGTTCCTGACCGTGTAGAGACCAGAGGCCTCCTTCACCACTGAGGAGATCATGTTGGTCTCTGACAGAGGGAAGGGGGGGGGGCACAGATTAGGTCCTGGTTGTGACACTACATCGGGCGGTGTATTTATCCGCTGTGGTCCCAACCGACACGTACTCTCCTTCCGGTCCTTGACCTCGGGGAGCGGCTGGTCGTTTTTGAACCAGATGATTCTGGGCTGCGGGTGTCCGTTCATGGTCACACAGGTGCCGATCTGATACACATGGGGAAGGTGGGGGGGAAAGAAAGTCGGTTTGAAAGCGCCTAAACCGTGCTCACGTGCGACGGGGGGGGGGGGGACCGTCAGAAACGCACCTCGGAGCTGGTGCTCTGCCCGGTGGAGATGGCCTGACTCGACGGCTTCGTGAGCTCCGGCTTCTCGGGGGCGACTGAGACGGGGAGACAGAAGGGAGAAACATTCAAGAGAGCAGAGGCACACGTCCCCCCCACTCCCCCCCCCCCGGCTATCCGGCTCCCTGTGGTCCCGGCGAGACCCGGTTCACACGAGCCGATAAGGGTCCAGCAGCAGCAGCAGCAGCAGCACGCAGGATCCACCCGAGCTCTCACGTGTCTCACAAGGTCGTCTCACCCCGCCGCCAGCTGCCGGCGGCTGGTGGGAACAAACAGTGGGCGAGTGTGCGTGTTCCTCCCGTCGGCTCTGCCGGGTCTCTGCGTCCGGGACGAAGGCGCTTCGCGTGTACAATGTCGTCACAGCCGAATTTGGAGCGGTGAGTCAGTGAAATGAGGACATTGCGACCACGTCGTCTCGGCTGGGAGGACATTCTGTTTCTTCAGATCCCTCACGAGCCCCCGAGCAGTCAGGTGGTCAAACGTGGGCACAGGATAATTGCTGGTTTGTGGGACACTTTAAGGGTTTAAGTAAATCTAAAAGGGCCTTTGTCAAACACCACTGACGCACAAATAAGAGCTGGTTCTCCGAGTCTCTGAGGCCATAAAAGTTAATAATCAACGTGGAGTTTGACTGAAGAAAGAGTTGTTTGGCTTTTTAGAGTGATTGATCAGTCCAATCCAAAATACCAATTAATTGTACTTATTTGGGCTAATGCGCTAAATGCTACGCGTGATTGATGCTGCTGAGTCAGTGAAAAGGAGCCAGCGGTCTGCAGGGGGGGGTCGGCCTTTAGCACCGTTATTAAGGTGAGATATGAGACATGACAAGTGTGATGGAACTATTCATCAATTGTGTCAAGAGTGATTAGATTGTAGTTAATTGACTTCTAGGGAACTAATGAAAGGAAATAGGTAACCGACTGCCGGCTGTAGACAAACAATCTGTAAAGACCTTTTGCCTCCAGGAACTTAAGAGTGCGATATTGGCAAAAAGCAATTTTCTAAATGAATTACATGCATTAAATCCGATTAAGCCCCCTTTAAATGAAAGTATGCGCGACCACGCACGCAGACTTTAAGGTCGTTTACAAGGTCAAAGGACTCACAGAAGACTTTGAGCATAGTGGCGCCGTATCCGAACCCGGTGGGGCCGGCGGTCACCTGGCATATGAAGACGAGCTCGTCGGAGGGCTGGACGGAGGAGATGGTCAAGGAGAAGTCTGCCCCGAGCGTGACCCTCCCCGTCAGAGGGGTTCCCTCGTCGCTCTTCCCTTTGCCGTCGCTGAGGAAAGCCACGCGCTTCCTGGCCCCGTTCTCCTCCTGCAGGGTCGGACGTGGGGGGGGGGGGGGCGGAGGCAGATGGGAGGCAAACAATGAGCAAACCAACGAACGCAAAATGCCGGACGTGCGGTCAAAGTGCAAAGGGACTCACGATGTACCACTCCACGACGGTGTTGCCGGCTCCCTGCGGCACGGTGTACGTGCACGGCAGTTTGGAGGCCTCTCCTTTCAGCACCTCCACTATGGGAGCCACTTTGACGGTCACAGTGCCGCCGCGAACTAGAAAACACAGAAAAACACACAAAAGGGAAACAAGGGGATTTAATGCCTTGAAGCGCAGCGTCGGCAGCACGGCGAGGCGCGGACACAAAAGCTCAAACACAGGACAGCGAGAATCAGCACTGCGGACGAACACGGTTAAGGGCGCCAGGAGGGGGGGGGGGGGGCCTCCTCACTGCCCCATTAGGATGCACAAATGGTCCCATGTGACAATGGGGCAGCGGGATGGACCCCAACTGGTTCCAGCGGGGGAAGGGAACCCTGTAACTCTCCTAACTCGTGACAAGGAAAGGAGAGAGGAGAGGAAGGATGGAGGCCCGGAGGAAGGAAAGTCACTGCAGCTCAAGCAGAGATCCTCAGCGTGCCCAGTGGGAGGCTGATGTTGGGAAAGGACCTTGTTCTTTACGAGGATGAGGATGGAATATTTCAGTCTGTGCCGCCTCCACAGTAACACTAGTTCAGTAATAATGGATGTGGAGTTCGGTTCAAAAGCCTTTGCGCTTAATTCAATATTCATATTCTGGACGCATGTGCAGCTAATGATCAACCCACCCCACACTAAATTAATCATGTCATCAATATCTGGACTACAAAATCCACACATGAATAATTTATTTGTTGTGCACAACTTGCCGGAGTGGAGACGGCGGACTTCTGGGAATCTGCTCGACGGAGTAGTTTTAAGAAGAAAAGGAGGGGGGGGGGGGGGGGGGGGGGGGGGGGGGGGAGATGAAAGGGTGAGAGAGAGAGAGAGAGACGGGCTGAGCGGGACGGGAGCCGTCACTTCACCGCGGCGAAGAGGGCGAGTTCACCAAGAGGAGATAACAGACACATTTCTCCAGGGTCAGATGCCGACATTGACCCGGACCCACAGAGGTCAAGGGTCACAGTCAGGCATTGACATCTGACGAAAAGGATCTCATGTCTCCTTCCCTCGTCCTTTCTTCACTCCGCTTTACCGTCTCCCTCGTCCGCTTCCCCCCCCCCCCCCGCCTCTCATCCCCTCTTCCTCGTCCTCTCCCGCTGCAAACACCGCGTTTCATCCGCGCCGCTCTCAAGTGAAACATCTAGTTAAGCAAAACCAAGTCTCGTGTTTCCCGTCTGTTTCCACGGCAACGCCAACAGCGAGCAAACGGACCAATCTGTGAGCAAAGCAAGAGGTCGGGATCCACACACACACACACACACACAGCACACACAGCACATTAAATCAGGTGACTTGCTGGCACAGAAAACCCAACTCAGTCACTCGAGTAATTTGCTTTTGGGAAAACACATGTACACACAAACGGAAGTGACAGTTCAACCCCGAAAATACAAAAAAAGACTTTATTTTCGCCTCTCATGGCTATTTATCAAAGTAGAACTTTACGGCTCACCGTTTGCATCCGACGTTCATTCATCCGTGCAAAACATTTCACACTCTATTCTTCTATATTGTTTATTATTGTCGGCCGGACGCGACGGGGATACGATTGAACCCTCGGCCAGCTTCCTCTCCAACGGCCCACTGAGGACGTTTGGACGCTTCTGACGGTCGACGGCGTCTGATGAAAAGCTGCGCTGGTTGTTTTGGGGGACTCGCTCAGTTGCTCGATGACGTGCAGGTGAAAGAAGTGAAAGCCATGGTTTGTCCATCTGCCGGTCTCTCCCTCTCACATTTTATTTCCTTGCCCCCCCCCCCCCGCCCCCTCACTCAGCCTTGGGGGGCCACTCACAATATGCTGTAGTGGAGAGTGCTGCTCGCATGAGGCAGATGGACGTACAGAGACGGACAATTCAAGCATAATTAAGGAAGTCCTCCGTCCAATCAGTCTAGAGACGCATGCTGTTGGCTGTCACTGTGTGTGTGTGTGTGTGAGAGAAAGAGAGTGGCTGGGCTGTTTCGGGGGGGGGGGGGGGGGGGGCAGCTTCATGGGGGTCTCATTAGCTGACGCAGGCCAGATAATCGGATTTAGCCAAAGAGAGGGGAAGTGTGTGTGAGGTGGTGCGTGACCGGTTAAAAATGACAGATGGGAACGAGACGGTCAGACGGCGACCTGCACACACACACACACACACACACACACACACACACACTCTCTTACAGTACATGTATGATGCACGTGATATTTATGAGCAGCTGAATGAAGCTGTGCGTGAGTCGTGTCAGTCCCACATGTGCTGAAAAGTTAATGTGAAAGCGTCTTCAATACTGTGTGTGTGCTCCTCTCTTTCTCTCTCTCTCTCTCTCTCTCTCCCCTTCACACACACCCCTCATTATGAGGAGAACCAGCCGCATCCTCTCGGCTGTCCTCGCCTCCTGTCCTATTCTGGACATCACACCCGGCGCTCCTTCCTCCCGTTGTCAAAGAGCATTCTTCATCAGACAAACCGGCTCCACCGGGAGCAGAAAGAGAAGGCGCACAAAGGAAATAAGAGGATAACGGCGTTGTGAGGAGACTCCAGTCGTACCTGCGGTGACTGCCCCCCCCCCCCCCCACGTCTATGAAAGACACCATTGACCTCCCTTTCACATGAGCCTGGTTTCATCCCGCTGTCCTCTACGGGAGGACGGCGGTCGGGAAGCGTGTTGGATCACTGCGGCGGCAACGCGGAGGACTTCCTCCATCAGGGGAGTCCAGGACGTTCAAGAGGAGTGTGTACTTGTGTCCGTGTGTGTGTTTGTGTGTGTGTGTGTGTGTGTGTCCTCTAACAGGATTAGTGCGTCCGGCTGTTGGCACAGCAAACAGCGTCCCGTAGGAGAAGACGCGGCTTCAATGTCACGGGGGCCGAGTCACCTTCAGCGTGGTCCTGAAATAAAGCAGGACAATAACGTCCTCGCGTGCCGCTGATCAGCACCTCGGATGAGCGACGTCCATATTCAACCACCGCGGTTAATCAATAGGCTGCTTTGATCATCTGTTAGATATTAATGGGCAAAACGAGACGTTTAAAGACCTCTTCATGGGCGGCTGGAACAGCTGTTCTGAAACGAGACAGACCAAACTAATGGATAAATGGATAAAATAATCAACCGACGAACCGATTAAAGCAGAGCGCCTCCTCCAAACAGCCACATTCACATTCAAGAGCCCGAAATCTAAAAGGAATAAAATATGATGCAAGATGATAAAAAGGAGCTACTCCTCCCGCAGGCTTCACCCCCCTCCGACCCGAGTAAAGGGAGGGGGGGGGCGACCAGGGGGTCCATGTAAGGTATGTAGTCCGTCAGCGCCCGACTGATGAGACCAGAACAGGTGCAGCGAGGGAACAGCAGCTGCTGCACACACACACACACACACACACACACACGACTACAATGAAGGCCTGATGTAGAAGGCAAGGGGCGAGACATGCACAGGGAGACACAAAGACGGTGGACAGGGAGGGGTGAAGGAGAGGGGAAGACGAGGTCCTGTCTGGAATACAGGAGGCCCGACAAACGAGTAAGAAGTAGATCCGCCGTGCGTCGCTTCTGCAGAAGCATCCAGCGATACGCAGCTCGTGCTCAACGGGATCACGCCAACACGTGATTCGTGCAACAGCGAGGACACAACACCGAGTAGAGGATAAACGGTAAAACAGGGCCGGCGCAGAGCTGCACCGCCTGAGACTCGCCGCCTCAGTCTGACAAAGCGATACCCGGTAGCACTGAGAGCCGGATCGTGGCTGTGTACACAGATATAAATACAGCTGGTGTGTGCACAGCGAGCGCTGCTGGCTCTTTGTGTCGGGATTAGACGCAACCCGAGCGGGACAAGAGGACCCGAGGTCCCTATTGGACGACTCGGGCTGCGATTGGTCCGCTAGGGCGTCTTAATCAAAGATCACGAGTCCCGAGAAACCCGTGACCAGCTGTTTATTTACGGGCGGATCCGTCCTCGGTCCCGTAAATCTCAACCAGTCAAAGGCCTCCATTGTGCTCCCAAGATGCTATCTGGGCCTCTAATTGGAGTCAAACGAAATAACACCTTTGTTGGTGGAGCAGGAAGCTCGGCTGTTTCCATGTATCTCATCAGGGTTGTGTTTGGTGTCGGCGTGTCGGGCGTCCTGATTAAAGGGGAGACAGCGGCGTCCCGGATGTGCAGACGCCACCCGCTAAGCCCTCGGCCCGCTACCACAGGATATGAGGGATGGGGGGGGGGGGAGGGCGGTCCGTCTTCCTGTCAGGGCTTGTACTGGTCTACCGCCGGAGTAGAAGTCAAATTTACACCTGGGACCCTGCAGCTACACACACACACACACACACACACACACACACAGCTTGAGTCTAGCGGAGGAGACGATGTTTGGTTATTTACTGGTTTACTGACAAAGGACGGACGCATTTGTTTCATAAGAAGCGTTTTAGCTTTTTACTGTTTTCATTCATCCGCGGTGGTGAGATGGTGAAGTTTTAAATGGTGAAGTTTCCGATCGGCACTTTGATCGCGTTTTAACTCCATCAGGATTCACGAGCTGAACTTTTCGTGAAGTGACTACAGAGGCAGAGGAACGACGACGAAGGACACGAGTTTAGAGGAGGACAAATGTTCCCGGGTGGGAGAGGGAGGCGTGCAGGGGGGGGGGGGGGGGGGGGGGGTGATGTAAGGCTACGCATCACACCGCGTTAGCATGTTAGCATCGGCTTCCTGCTCAGTGCAATTATTTGCATTGTTACTTAATTCTGCAGGTTTCAATGAATGCGCAGCGGGTGTGTGTGTGCGCTTCTTTGTGTATCAAAGTGTCTGTTGTGTTAGAGAAGTCACAGTGTGCGCGGTTGTGACAGATAAATCACACCTCTCCTGGTGTGTGTGTGTGTGTGTGTGTGTGTGTGTGTGTGTGTCTCACGGCAGTTTAGGGGCCCAAGACAAACAGTTTGAAGTGGGCCACAAGCTCCGGCCCTCACACACTCCTTTGTCTCCCAGGAGACTCCCCCTCGCCGGTCCCGTCGCCTCGGCAACGGGGTGAGAAGTCAGCCCCATTTAAACTGGAGAGTTTAGGGCTTCGAGTGTGTGAGTGTGTGTGTATTGAGGGGGGGGGGGGGGGGGGGACGAGGACGAGGACGGATGGTAGGAGGACACGGGAGGACTGGATTTGTGGTGCTGACGCGGCGTCCCGCGCTCCGCTCGAAAGAACGAAACAAAACAAAGCCAAGACGTCTCATGAGGAGATTAAAAACGGAGGCTGGTGAGTTTTAGAGCTGAGCAAGAGCTTCTGGGAAAGTAGCTTTGAGATATTGTCTCTCGCTCGTATTCTGGAAGCTTCCGTCCCCCATTAGAGTTGGCCGAGTGAAATTGAAATCATTCGTCACAAAGAATATCGGGGGCCATTTACAAAGCTAATATCTTTAAGCTGACACAATCTGGACCCAATATATGTGACTCCATTAACGGCGAGTTAGCGAGACAGTGGCCAGAGTCCTGCTCCCATTAGAGGGCCCTTCGGGGTCCGAACACAGTAACAAAGAGGGGGAAAAAAAAAAAAAAAAACTCAAGGCCGACAGGATCGGATAAAAATATCAAGAGGAATTTCATTACTATTGAAATCAAAGGACACAAACCAGAGTGTGTTGGGCCAATTACCGCTCTGTGGCTCCTCCTGGCTGCC